AGCAAAACACACAAAATCATTCCTACCCAAAAACTTTGCCTCTCTAGGCAGATTAAATATTAGCAGTAGGCTACATGTATCTTCGAAAACAGCTCTCGACTGCCTGTCAGGCAAGGGATAATTCTACGTGAGATGAAGATCCTACAAGAGGCAGAACACATTTTACAATTCTTCGAAGACGTTCAGCAGGTCAGACGAACGACTTTCAGACGCACAGCGCCCGAGTTCGGCTAGTGTATAGCGCGCGAACAACATCCTTGTGCATCCAATTAGATGTCTTCTTTCTTATAATGTTCTTCAAGTGCGTCTGTTCTCAGCTCATGAATGTCATCTCAAGTGAGTGTAATAGAGTTGTATGAGCTGAGGGAGACAGAATGGGAGGGAACGCAGAAAGAGAGAGGGGGGAGAGAGAGAGAGAGAGAGAGAGAGAGAGAGAGAGAGAGAGAGAGAGAGAGAGAGAAAGAAAGAAACTGTCCACTTGGGGAGAAGCCTGTATTGTGGTTATTATTCAACATGTAAAAACAAAAATTGACACAGACATGTTTCAAAGTATGTCAAGAAGTGTGTTACGTTCTGTTTCTTGATCATGTCTCATGTAGTGGCACAGTGATAAGTACAAACTGGTACACCTTGATTTCAAAACGTCACGTCGTTGTAGCCCTTGAAATGATGCAGGCCTGAAGTGTTCTGCTCTTTGATCATGTCGGTTTTTTTTTGTTTCTTATTTTAATTATTTGTTGTGGCGGTCAATTCCACTCTTGAATCAAAGCTTGTCCCCCCAGTCGTTGTACAATGTTAATGTTGTTTTGGGAGCTCCTTCTCTTAGGTCCAGTCAGTTCAAGCGTAATTATTGGAAAGATGGCAATTAATGTTGGTCATATTATAAGGCCGCCTTGCTCGACGCCCGAATGTGTTTTAAGACCGTAGTTGTTTCCCTATATCGCTGATAAATCTCTCAGTGTCTGTATGAAAATAGCCTGCAGAACTATAAGAAAGTGATTTCAAAGATACCAGAGCAGCATCTGTCCGTCCTCTTGGGCAGTATCGACCTGTGGTCTGCCTGGTCTGGGCCTGTCAGGTGTAACTCCGGTGACTTGGAACCAATCTTTCAGGATATTGAAGGTAGGATGGGAGCAAAGAAGCATCCGCGCCACTCTACGGGCCAATTTTAGTACAGCCTGCAGTATTCAAATTGCCCAACAGTGCTCCTCGGGGACTTAACCTTGGCATCTTGTACAGCAATTTAAGACGACGAAAACTAGCTGGAATGTCTATGTAAGTTGGTTTTTTCGATTCTAAAGTCGCCGATGTGTTGATCTGAACAGTGTAGAAGATTTCATAATTTCGGCGGAACTTCAGTCACAGAACATTACAATTAGCAGGTGGCTCACGTGACCGCGTCGTTAAATTCTTGTTTATGAAAAAGATCAAGAGTCATCGTTGGGTACATGTTGAGTGATGCACGACAGCTAGAGCACAGTTACAAAAAAACAGTGGGGAGTTTCTATTGCCGCTGGGTATATATTATACAAAAATTGTATATATATATAAATACACACACACACACACACACACACACACACACACACACACACACACACACACACACACACACACACACACACACACACACACACACACAATCCCAATTAGGCACAAGAGAGGTCAGGCCGGCGAACGAAAAAGACGGAAGTGTTCTTTATTTATTTTTTTTTTTCGAATAGATAGAGCTCGGTGATGATTGGATCATATTCCGAGTGGGGCGGAGAAAGAAATAGCAGAACAATCAAGACATTTTTTTTTACCTCGAGCTTCCGGCTGCTGGTGACGCTAGCTGTCATCTATGCTACAGCCACCGGAAAGCATGGGATGAGCGATCTTTGTGGAAATATGGCAGAGAAAAGTTTTTAAAAAATAACAAGCTAACAAAACAAATATAAAAAAAGGAACCCCCCACGACGTCTTCTCTGACGCTGAAAGGTTCTAAATGAAGATACAAAAACCTTGTCGTCGTGAAAGCTTTGTATGGAAATCGATTTTGGGACAGAGAATGTGACAGAATGAAAGAAGGGCCATTAACTAGGGACGAGCTGGGAGAAAAACACTAATGTCCCCCTCCACAAGAAAGAACCAGCGATGCAAAAATCTACAATGAAGGGTGGAATGAGGGGGGGAAAACAAGTCGTTAGTAGTTCAAAAGATAACGCTAGGTTTTATGGTTCTAACGTGATGTTCAAGATTGAATGAACACGTCGTTAGTAGTTCAAAAGATAACGCTAGGTTTTATGGTTCTAACGTGATATTCAAGATTCAATGAACACGTCGTTAGTAGTTCAAAAGATAACGCTAGGTTTTATGGTTCTAACGTGATATTCAAGATTGAATGAACAAGTCGTTACATGGTTTAGAGAAAAGCTT